GCTGCCCTCTAACTCATTGAATTGGTTTCTGTAGTCCATAAGCGGTCGATGGATAGGTATGACTGAAAACGACTGTCCATCAGGTATATGGATGTCAGTCATGAGGTGCTTGGAGACTATGGTCTGCAGATCTGTGCTGTGTTTGTGGTAACCATTGGTGTACTGAATGGTGTGTTTGGTGTGGGATGTGATGTCTGTGTAGTGAATGTGCTGTGAAGTGGTGTTTGTGTGCGAAGTATAGCTCATACTCTCATCCGATAGACTACTACTCGATGTTGTGGTCGAGTCTCGAGTGGTATTCATAGACTTTGCATTCAATTCCCGTTTCTGTCTATTGGTCTGTATTTTAAGTTTTCGCAACTCTTTCAGTTCACTAGTGTATATATACTCCTATCGAGAGAGAGAGAGAGAGAGAGAGAGAGAGACTTTTAATAAGTAGTTAACCTTGTTACTTGCATACCTTTTTCATTCCCATTTCATAGCATTTAATGAGACGACACCTCTTACACCGACTCCTGGATATGACATCTATTTTACACTTATTTCCATTGAAACAAATGAATCTCTTTATAGTAAAATAAATATAAACAAAAGAGGTTTATTATGAAAGAAATAATATTTATTTGAGGGCACCTGTAGCTCACCTCTAGTTTATAAGCATGCCGTCGGAAAAATTGTTTACATGACTGACAAGAAGTAGTATTGAAATTTTTGCCTTGATTTTAAATAAAGCATTTATTCAAGATTATTTTAATCATAATTTATTTTAGAATTAAATATTTATAATTAATATTTTATTGTTATTTGTAAAAGATATTACCTGATGCTTTATCACCACAAATGATACATAATACTTTGTCAAGTAAATCCGATTCATTAAAATCATTATTCATTATTTAAAATAATTTTTATTTATTTAAAATATATAATAATTCAATATATTTTTGTCAGGTAGTACTAGTACAGTATACTTCATTGCCTTATGTAACAAAAATTTTAATGTAATATTCAATTATAAAAATGTTTATTACTATTAATAAAGATATAAAATAATATTGTTTGTTTCTATGGGACTCGTAATAAAAAGCATAATTTGTCATTAACTTTTTAAAATATATATATAACTGTGTATTATCATTATTGCTTTAATATAAATTTAAAAAACTTATATAATGTGTAATAACATTTCTAGAAAATAATTCTTAATACTGTATTAAATGACACAATAGTTAATATTAATAATAATTAAAATATAACCAGGATAATTACTGAATAAAATAGCATTTATGTCCATACTCCATTGTTGAATATTATAAAATCATTTATTGTTTGATGGTTTGGTACCTTAAATAAAATTGCTAAAATAAATTGTCTATATTAAAATACTATCTAGGTCAACAAATTACCATAAGATGTCTTGCGATTATCCACTTTATGGCCAGCAAAATTAACCCCCTTGGTACTCACGCCATAGTTGTTGTTGGACTTATAGGTCCCGGTAGCTGACCCACCACCGGATGTATTTCCCTTTGAGTCCTTACCACTTGAGGGACTATACCCGGGTTTGTCAGACATAGTGTTACCTTGGTCAATACAAATTATTTTCGCAAAGTTGTTAACTTTTAAAGTTGCTAATACTTAATGATTGAATATACAGTTAGTTTATATACTTACTAAATTTGTTAATTTTATAGTGAGATTTATTTTGTTTTTAAATTAAATAATTTATGAGTGTTAAAAAATTATTTAATATGTTATTTTCAAATTCTGCATAAATTAAAAATATTAAATAGTACTACAATTATTTTATATTTAAAAAATTGTCTACCATAATTTGTATTTATATTTATATAATATTATGTCTATATTTGTGACCTTCATTTAATTTTTAAAAATAAATATTTTAATTTAAGTTATTAATTACTAGTAGTATGAAAATTTTCAGACAACTTTTTAAATAATATGTCAAACAATAAATATTTTAATCTGTTAAAATATCTTATTTTTAAATTATGTCACTAAACAAATATTTCTCAAAAGTTTTGCTAGTATTTAAAATGCTAATTTAGTAAATTGTTTACATCTACCTGAAATAATACTTTAAATCACAAATACCTAATAAAATATTACAAAAATTATAAAATATTAAATATTTTATGCTATTTTACTTTATATAATACGATAAAACATAAAAACAATCAAATACTTATAATACACAAACTGATATTAAACATAAATTTAATTAATCAAAATTTTAAAATATTATCATTGAATTGGTAGTTACGCTAACATAGATTATTTAAAAATATAAAATATTATTTTGTGCGGTTAATATTAGTTATTTATTTATCGTAATATAAAATAATTACATGAAAGTTACCATACACATATAAATAAAATACTTTTATTAAGATATTGCATAAAATAATAACAATTGTAAAAGTGTGCATGTAACATTTGTGACATCTAGTTGTTATTCAAACGTAAATATAAGTCATATGTCTATTGCAACTCAAAAATCTTGTTCAATACGAGTGAGTATAGGCTGAGCGCCGGTCGCACGGGCTCCGGGTCCTCGGCGATGGACAGGGAGT